TATATCATCCTCTATTTGCCTGTAGGTGAGTTTTAAATGAGACTTAAGGAGAATCAGTAAACCTTTCTGGTTTGGAAACACCTTGAAATGTTGGTAGAACTGATGGATAACCCTCTGCCTGAACTACAGGAGCTTTAATGGTGGATAGCAATAGTTCTTTCAAGAAAAGAGAGGCTTGCAGAAGGAATCTTCTATTTGTTGTGCAGCAGGTCAGCTAACCCCACCTTCTCTGTGTTTGTAGCTGTCTGTGATGTTCATCCTCTTGGTGGTGCCCACACCCTTGGTGGAGATGTTCTGCCCGATTCTGTTTTTCTCTGAATAAATGCTCTGCTTGGATCCATCCCGCTTGATCTGACCAGAAATAACAAAATGAAAAGGAGGCAAAGATATTTCACTAATGCAAACATTCCGATGATACTAATCCTTCCGAATGGTTTATTGCTCTGCAGGAATAACTGATTTTTCTATGGATCCCACTGACCAGCCAGGTGATGCAGTCGGCGTTCACTGAAGCGAAGAGAAATGGAACGTCGTATTTGAGATGAGTGTCTCCGTTCAGGATCGCCGACACCGGAGCTGGGCCACAGCAGAACATACCTGCAGGACAGCGAGATTAAAGCTTCCATATGTTGCAAAATTCACTTTAGAAACTTTTCTAACAGTCATGTGTGCCCTGAGGCTTGCATGAGGTTCATGGCTCAGGAATGCCTTGCTCCACCTCTTAGCTAATGTGTGCCTAAAATTCTGTTCGAAAAAATCTCCACTCATGATGTCATTTCGGGAAAACATCAACACCAAGCGTCCACACAGAGATGGCTAAGCTAAGAGCTAAACACAGCAGCTGCTCTATCAATTTTATGGTACCAGGCCTGTAACGTGACAGCTCAGTTTAACCGTAAGCTATTTGGGACCCTTGTTGGTTTATTTTCTGAAATCTCCATCTGTGCTCCTCAGCCCAGCCTTCAGTCTCCATCTGACTTCAAGCTAAACGGAGTCCAAGTCACATCATGTCTGCTATGAAAGTCATTGCGGAGGCAGAGAGGCTGAGCGTCTCTAATCAGGTGCAGCAAAATGTCTGAAAAAGCACTGACATATTCAGAGCAAGAGGTGCAGCAGAACTGTTAACATGAGGCTGAAAAGTGATGAGAGGAAGAACTGAGATGATCAACAGCAGTGCGGGCAGATAAAGAAGGATGTCTGCATGCAGGGACGTTCAAAAGCAACATAAAGCGTTTTAAATAAAAGAAAAAATCACTTTGAAAGGCACCACTCTTTCAACTTTAAAGTCCCGTAAGGAAACTATATTAACCAAATGTTTTGCAGATGTCATGGGGCCAAAGTACAAAATCAAAGCCAGCATAAAGTCAAGCAATCAAACTCAAAATATCAAAGTGTCACTGTACCGTCACTCTTCTCCTGTGGAGTTGGATCCAAAGCCTGCCAGCCATCATATCTCCCATCTTTGGCCAAATCGGGTCGCTTCATCCAGCCCTCCACCCAGACGTGATAATTCCTTAAAAAAACAATCACATTTAACGAGTGATGAAAAACAATAAACGCTCAAGAACAAAATGAAAAGACAGAAGCAAACTGCTGCGACTTGTAGCAGGATAACAGTATAGTTATAATGTGAACTTTTAGATCATCATCCATTCCTTTGACCCTAATCCAGAGACCATGAGGATGGAAAAGCAGGAAGAAGAGGAAAATAAGGTTACAAGCTCTACATGTCTCCAACTTCTCACCAGACGCTGTCTTTGGTCTCTTTCTCACGGACTCCGTAGTCGGCAAAGTAGGTGTCGATGGTCAGGTTCTTGTTGGTGTCATGAGCCGACTGGAAGTTGGTGACGACGCGGCAGGGAATGCCCAGCAGACGCATCACTGGAACCAGTACACAGCATCGTTACCATCGTTCCACAGGTAAATATTTAAAATGAATCTTTGAAGCATCTTTCTGAGGGTAGAAGGATTTAACCGTATAAACACATTATTTAAATGTTTAGTTACTCTACAGCAGAGGTCTTCAGATTAGCGGACTAATTAGCTGGCTAATGCGGACCAAACCTGATTTAAAACATTTATAAATGACCGCATGTTGTCCGACAACAGTTTCTAAATTCACCTGCACCGCTTCTCCTGTTAATACGGTAAAGCCCTACGGATCGTTTGGCATCAGGCTACATGTGATCCAAATGAGCCAATGAGCTGTCAGTCTGGGTTGCTGCTGCTGCTACTTTTAGACGCAGCAGGCAAACCTGTGGCAAGCCGGGCGATGGGAAAGAAGGAGAAGACCATGAGAAAAAGAGAGCAGAGAAAGTGTGGACTGCTGGAAGAACTGCGGTGAACTGGTGAAAGAAAAGTGAAATGGCGTGCTCAAAGATG